CAACTGAAAAAAACCAAACGGTGAACTCATGGGGGGGGTGTCTAAAAAATGTCCACCCTCTGAAAAGCACAAGGCTTGTTTTTGGGCTGCAACCTCAAAGAAAATAGGCCTTTTTCTTTGTGACAACAAAGTGGTCGATTCCCATCCAACTGTGGCTACATTACCTCTTTCAGCAGACTCCCTTCAAACTTCATGGAAACCTATTTGTCACCCTTAGGCCATATGTGTCAACATGGAAAACACCCTGCTGAGCATCAAGATAGGTAGCAAGTAGATGTTCCAACTCCAAATGGAGCCATAGGGTATGGTGCATGGCCATGTCTTTATTTTGTTGATATGTTTTTCCACTGGACTTCAGCTGGAAGCACGGCTTATGGCCCAGGCACGGCGCTGTACTGCGTCCAGGCGCCGCCAACGGGCGGGGCCACCTGCTTCGCGGACGCGGCGGCCGCCTGGGACGCGCTGCCGGAGCTGCAGAAGCAGCGGCTGAGGCCTTTGTCAGGGAAACCAATAGGGAATCCAGCGGCTGAGACCATTTTTGAACCGTTCACTGGGGGTACGATTGGGTTTTTTTGACCCATGGCCATACATGGGGTATGGGTCAAGATTTAACCACCAGGATATGGACTGCAGGTTTTAGTCCTTGGTTCCATTTACCAGGGCAAGCCATTTTGGGTACCCATTTTTGACCCACAGCCAACTAGCAGGGATACAGGTGGAACGAACGAACGCATCCGGGTCTCTGAGCACTGCGTGCGCGACCTTTAGGGAGTTTGGTGGCCAAATACAAAGGGCACCGCAACAACTGGCCAAAACAATTCCGGGGAAACCTGTTGGAGACGGGAAAATTCCCCCGTTTGATGCACCTGGACGAAGTTTGACTTGGGAAATGGTGCCAAGGGAATCAAAATCCCCCCACCTCCCCCGCTGCCGTAGCCCCGCTTCGTTTGTCCAAGAATTTTTGCTCGGAGGAAATTGGTCCAGTAGCATTCGATCTGCGAAGTATGGTGAGCTCAGGGATCCGGGGATAGCAAAAGCCATGAGAAAGTGCCAAAGACTTGGGCATCCAAGTCCTAATTTTCAGCTTTTGGAGTTAAGTTAAGATTTTTCAGATTCTATGTGTTTAATTGTTTTGGAGGGGTTCTAGTTTCCTCCTTGCTTTGGTATGCTACCTTTGGGCAAGATATTGGATGGCTGTCATCGGCAAGGTAAAACTTCGGCAGTGGTGGGATGATTTAGGGGGGCCTTCTCGTTAAGTCAGCATGAGGTCGTCTTGGCGTTCTTGAAGAATATGGGTGTGCCGTTTCTTTGGGGGTACTCTTTCAGAAGCGAGACCAAGAGGAAAACCATGTTTTTTCTCTCTTTTGTGTGTGTGTTTTTTGGGGGAGGTCCCTATGTTGATCTATTTTGACACATTGTGGGAGCAGAGGCTGAGGGTAGAGAAGGCCATGGTGAGCTCTTGCACGCTACAAGGAGGTCCACTCAGAACTTAGACAAGTAATTTAATAAAGAAACGAAGAACACACTTGTGGAGGAAGAAGGAATTCCAGGACTTGCAAAACAATCCGGCTCACCTGTTCGAAGAAAGGCAAGGCCGCTTTTGCGGCCAAAGCGCAAAAAATACGGCATTTGGCCTCGGGTGCTGCTAGGAACTTGGAGTGCATCTGCAGCCTGGCCCACCATGATGCCAAGATCCGGCGCCGGAACCCCGACTACCCCATGTCCCAAACCCGGCAGCGGCAGCGGGTGCCCTTGGCTTTGGCGCCTTGGTGCCGGTGCTCGCTGCTCGTGGCACCCGTGTTTTTATGTGCGGTTTTTCGAGTTTTTGCTCGGGTTCCCTTTGGAATTTAATTCACTTTAAAGAAGCAACTCACTTCTAAGTATCGTTTAAGTTCAAGCAACAAGCAAGTTTCCCAAGGTCAAGCCGCGAAAGGCGGAGTTCCATTTTGCCCTAAATCTGGGCTGAGGAGCACCCAGAGACCAAGCGGGTGGCGCTCTATGGCATCAACTCCAGCACCTGCTGGATCGTCGAGCGCGGCCAGGCTCGCCTTGGAACAAATGGGCGGCAACCCGAGTTACGAGGGAAGGCTAAACGAGGTTTGAAGTGAACGAGTTTTGAACACCCTTCCTCTCCTCTCCTCTCCTCTCCTCTCCTCTGCTCTCCTCTCCTCTCCTCTCCTCTCCTCTGCTCTCCTGTCCTCTCCTCTCCTCTCCTCTGCTCTCCTGTCCTCTCCTCTCCTCTCCTCTGCTCTCCTCTCCTCTCCTCTCCTCTCCTCTGCTCTCCTGTCCTCTCCTCTCTCCTCCTCTCCTCTCCTCTGCTCTCCTGTCCTCTCCTCTCCTCTCTCTCTCCTGTCCTCTCCTCTCCTCTCCTCTGCTCTCCTCCTCCTGTCCTCTCCTCTCCTCTCCTCTGCTCTCCTGTCCTCCTCTCTCTCCCTCCTCTGCTCTCCTGTCCCTCTCCCTCTCCTCTCCTCTCCTCCTGTCTCTCCTTCCTCCTCCTCTCCTCTCCTCTCCTCTCCTCTCCTCTCCTCTCCTCTTCTCTTCTCTTCTCCTCTCCTCTCCCTCTCCTTCCTCTTCTCTTCTCCTCTCCTCTCCTCTCCTCTGCTCTCCTGTCCTCTCCTCTCCTCTCCTCTCCTCTCCTCTCCTCCTTCTCCTCTCCTCCTCTCCTCTCCTCCTCTCTCCTCTTCTCTTCTCTGTCTCCTTCTCCTCTACTCTCCTCCTCTCCTCTCCTTTCTCCTCTTTTACTCTCCTCTCCTCTCCTTTCCTCTACTCTCCTCTCTCTCCTCCTTTCCTCTCCTCTCCTCCTCTCCTTCTCTCCCTCCTCTTCTCCTCCTCTCCTCCTCTCCTCTCCTCCTCTTCTCCTCTCCTCTGCTCTCCTCTCCTCCTCTCCTCTGCTCTCCGCTCCAACTCTCCCTCTTCCTCTTTTCTCTCTCCTCTCTCTCCTCTCTCCTCTCCTCTCCTCTCCTCTCCTCTCCTCTCTCTGCTCCTCCTCTCTCTCTCCTCTCCTCTCCTCCTCTCCTCTCCCTCTCTCTCCTCCTCTCCTCTCCTCTCCTCCTCTCCTCCTCTCCCTCTCCTCTGCTCTCCTCTCCTCTCCTCCTCTCCTCTGCTCTCCGCTCCAACTCTCCTCTCTCCTCTCCTCCTCTCCTCCTCTCCTCTGCTCTCCTCTCCCTGCTCCTCTTTTACTCTCCTCTCCTCTCCTCCTCTGCTCTCCTCTCCTCTCCTCTCCTCTCCTCTCCTCCTCTCCTTCTCCCCTCCTCTTCTCCTCCTCTCCTATCCTCCTCTCCTCTCCTCCTCTCCTCCTCTCCTCTCCTCCCCTCCTCCTCTTCTGCTCCTCTCCTCTGCTCCTCTCTCTCCTCTCCTCCTCTCCTCTGCTCTCCGCTCCAACTCTCCTCTTTTCTTCTCCTCCTCTCCTCTCCTCCTCTCCCTCTCCTCTGCTCTCCTCTCCTCTGCTCCTCTACTCTCCTCTCCTCTCCTCTCATCTCCTCTCCTCTCCTCTACTCTCCTCTCCTCTCCTCTCCTCTCCTCCTCTCCTTCTCCCCTCCTCTTCTCCTCCTCTCCTCCTCTCCTCTCGTCTCCTCTCCTCCTCTCCTCCTCTCCTCTGCTCTCCTCTCCTCCTCTCCTCTGCTCTCCGCTCCAACTCTCCTGTCCTCTCTCTCCTCCTCCTCTCCTCTGCTCTCCTTCTCCTCTCCTCTCCTCTCCTCCTCTCTCTTCTGTCCTCTCTTCTCCTCCTCTCCTCTCCTCCTCTCTCTCCTCCTCCTCTCCTCCTCTCCTCTGCCTCTGCTCTCCTCTCCTCTGCTCCTGTCCTCTCCTCTCCTCTCCTCTCCTCTCCTCTCCTCTCCTCTCCTCTCCTCTCCTCTCCTCTCCTCTCCTCTCCTCTCCTCTCCTCTCCTCTGCTCTCCTGTCCTCCTCTCCTCTCCTCTGCTCTCCTGTCCTCTCCTCTCCTCTCCTCTGCTCTCCTGTCCTCTCCTCTCCTCTGCTCTCCTGTCCTGTCCTCTCCTCTCCTCTCCTCTGCTCTCCTGTCCTCTCCTCTCCTCTCCTCTGCTCTCCTGTCCTCTCCTCTCCTCTCCTCTGCTCTCCTGTCCTCTCCTCTCCTCTCCTCTGCTCTCCTGTCCTCTCCTCTCCTCTCCTCTGCTCTCCTGTCCTCTGCTCTCCTCTCCTCTGCTCTCCTGTCCTCTCCTCTCCTCCTCTCTTTCCCTTTCTCTCCTGGCAGCCATGAGGTTTGTCCCACTCTGGATATAGTCTTCTCGCAAACAGATTGCGAGCCCGTGCACCTCGCGCCCTCCAGGAGATCTGTTCCAAGAGGCTGGAATGGCTCGAAGAGAGCGGCGAAGAGGATGAATCTGCCATTTGGCCCACCAGACTTGCCATCGTTTTCCATTCCCATTTTGTTGCAGGGCCAGGGTGTCCATCCCGTTTTCCAGTCAGCCCCAGTTTTTTGTGGCCCTCTGCGGCCATCCCCCCTTTTTTGGGCGGGTTGCCAAGGTAGAGATGCTGCAGGAGCTGCTGGTGCACGCCACAGCTCCAGAGTTCACCGTGGTGTGGCAGTGGCAGCCCGGAGACTTCGCCATCTGCGACACCAGATCCACCCTGCACTGCGCCACCTCCTACGACGAGAGATACCTCCGGGAGATGTGGCGGACCAGCATCATGCCGTGAAGTCCTGGCCATGCGGAGATCTGCCCCAAAAAAAAAAGGCCCTTAACAAAATCAGACCAGGGGGACCACTGGCGTCAGTCCATGTTTCGCTCTACCAGGGCAAGCCATTTTGGGTACCCATTTTTGACAGCCATCGAAAATGGTTGACTTCTGTTGGTTGCCAGTGAAATACGAAACAAAATTCGAACTTCGGTCCAAAAGCTAAATTTGAGAAACTCCCATTCGGGCAGAAGGAAGTCAGGGCCATCTCTCCGAGCGCGCCTGGCGTTTCGAAAAGTCGCCCGTTGAGTTGCCGGTGGTGCGCTTGCTTTTTGCTCCATGAAGGAAAACCCCTCTTTATGCCGCAGGCGGCACCCGTGGTCCAAGAAGATAAGAAGGCTGGCCCCTTAGCCGTCAGCTGACCAGCCGACCGTAGGTGTCCTTTTTGGTTGGTTTGGTCTAAAAATAGAGGGCGATTCCTGGTTTACCTGGTGGTGCAATCATTTGCCAAACCCATCGATTTGCGGCAAACGGACACCTATGACAACCGCCCTTGCCCTTTTTTCCGCAGGCGGTGGTTGCAGAGCCCATCTCCATCGATGAGATGTTTGGCTGCATCAACGGCAGCCTGCAGGCGGGCTGTGTAAGAATTCCACATGCCTGCGAAGTCTGGCCCAGGAGAGCCCTTCAGGCTACCTGCTCTATTGCCGGATCCACAGGTGTGTGGTTTTTGTTGATGGTGGTACTTTCTGAGGTTTGGAGGGAATCCAAAAGGAAACCAGCCATTCAGAGGCATCCCCTATTTTGAGCCACTGGTCCCTGCAAGCGTCTTTTTTCAATATAGGGGTCCCCAAAACATGGTCGGTGTTCTCCTGATTGTGTCAAAACAAGGGAACCCCTAAAATGTTTGGTTTCCTTTGGGTTTCCTTTACACCAAGCCCAAACAAGGTACCCTCCACAAAGCACACATCGAAATCCATGTTGAGATCCCCCCCCTTTTCATGGGGTTCCGCGCACGCCTAGGCCCGAGGACGGTCGAACAGTCTAGGAGATCCTGGTGGTCCCCAGAGGCCGAAAACGGGTCCAGGCAGTTTTTCCCAACTTGTTGGTCGTTGGAAAGGTGATGTTCAAACCAACCCATCCGGAAAGTTTCGTCTCCCAATTCCCTAGTCCACTCCAGTCCACTCACAAGCTCTGTCATTTGCCATTGAGGGGTGATGTGAAACATCACTTATGTGGTGTTGCCGTTTCTTTTCGGGGGGGGGGGGGTAAAACCTCACCCTGGTTGCCAATGGTGCTTTGAAACATTATATTTCATGTGTTGTTGTTTGTTTAGACGTGATTCATTCAACACCGGTTGGTTGCCTGTGGTAGTTTGAAACTCACCCTCTCTGTGTTGCGTGTTGTTTCTTTTTGGGGGGGAGGGGGGATGTTTGAAACAATACTTTTGCTTGACAATGGTGGCTTGAAACATCACCTTTGATCCACGTGCGTGTTTTGCGGGTGTTTGAAACATCACCTGGTCGCCAGTTTGCGGCAAGTTTCCTGGTGGGTCCCTGAAACCGAAAGCCGCGAGGGGCTTCCACGGAGAAGGCCGGGTCAAAAGCTCCCTGGCCAGCATTGCTGGCAAGAAGGCGGGATCGGAAATTTTTCGGAGAGAGGCGAGCGCATCCCTCCTGGAGGCTTTGATTTTGGCATTTGCTGCGGTGAACAATGGGGCCCGGAGGGCAACAAAGAATGCACTAGCCACAGCTTGATGCTTAGCTTGGCTCTTGCCTTGTTTGCAACCTCAAGGTTGGGACGACATCCACAACTACACTACCTGTTGCATTGAACCCGGCTGATTCGATGAACTCAAAAACAACGAATGACATGGGAAATAATCCTATATATATATATATAAATTTCAAAATAAATTACCGATTTGATTGAAACATATTAAGTTTTTATAAAATAAATAAATATTGAATTTGTTCGAAATTAATGGTAATATGTTAATATGCATATATAAATATATATATATATACATACAGCTGAACAAAAAACATTTAGACATTCTTCTCGACGACTATGTCCTTAGCGGTTGCTGTGATTCTTCTGGTTTCGATTGGTTCTCTATTTGTTAGGCTATTCCCAAAAGGGACACCTATGGCGAGTGAAGGAGAGATGGGCAAAGACATTCAGGCCACCAGCAAGGTGATGGCAGCCAAGGAGAGAGACATGGTGCATCATGGTGCGGTTTGTGAGGTTGTGGACCGTGACTTCAGCCGGATTATGCCTGTGTTGGGCTGCGCAGTTCGCAGAATTCGCCCAAGGCACAGTTGTTTCTTCTTTTTGTTGGCTTGAGACAGGAGCTCAAGGGGCAGAAGTACCAAGAGCACTCCTGCACCCACTCCTCCTTTCATCCATTTCGGCATTGGCCTTTCGAGCGCTCTTGCAAGGCATGCGCTGAGTGGGGATCGACGACAGCCTGATTCTCCTGCGTGGCCGTGTTCTCTCTTTGGTGTGGCACCGGTTGCGCCAGGCTGAACTGTGAAAAAGGCATATGTTCACGGCGATTTTCCATAAAAAAAAATCAAAAATCCAAAAAAAAAAAAAAAAAAAAACGAAACCAGGTTTCGAGAGAGTTTGTGAGGACAAGCCTTGCCAACATCGACAATACCTATGCCGTGCCAGCTCGGCACCTTGGCCGATATGGCTTGCACAGGGGGCCTTTGGCGGACGCGACAAATGTCCGGCCTCTTTCCCCTTGCATCAGAGGTTGAAGGCCAGCCGTCAACAGTTCTGCCAAAGCCTTGCACGCCATCCTTGACTTCAAGAAGCTAAATCGGGGCAAATGGCCATTCGCACGCCAAGTGCGGGCTTCTGAAAGTCCTTTTTTTCCTCTAGCCTCAGAGCTTCCAGGTCTCAGGTGCCTTCCTTGATGGTATGGTTGCATTGCATGCGGCAGCTGACCAGCAGTTCAAATTTGATAGGGTTCAATCACACGCCATGCTTCGCGTTGCTGTGATATTGATTTGTCCGTGGCTTGCCTCGACCCAGTCCGCCCAGTCTGCTTGCTCCGCTGGCTTGGGGTTGCTACAGAAATCCCCGCGCCAAAAGATACTTCAGCTACCAGGCACCCAATATGATTGGTCTCCCGTGGATGGTGGTGATGGAAGGGCTTGCAGAGGAGGAAGCGCTTCTGACAACTCGGCCTCCTACTACCGCGTGGTTTCTGGCATTCAAACATTGAATGACTGCCAAGCCGAGTGCATGAACGACGCGGAGTGCGGAGGCAGGGGCAAACACAAAAAGGTTTTTAAGCTGATCAAATTCTTGCGCCTGAGGTGTCGAATTCAGCCCTGGGCGCTGTGAAGTTTGGACGAGGGCAGGTGGCATTGAGGCCACCGTGGCCTTGGACAACTTCCAATGCTGGAGCTACAAGCCCTCGCTTTACCTTCCAGTCGATGGCGGCATCGGCCGCCAGTGCAGAGGCGCGTGCCAAAACGCCAAAATGCAGAGAGTGGCCTTTCAGGTTGGCACCCTGAAGGCATCCTCGAGGACGAGGCGAGCTACTTCCTGCAGCCAGGTGTGCAGGCGTTGCCAGCCTGCAAAGGTCTGTGCGAGGCGGAGCCGGCTTGCAAGGGCATTGAGTATGCTGTTGAAAGTGAGCAGTGCAAAGTTTGGACCGAGCCTTGATCCGCAATAGGGGGGCCCTTTCAGTGTCTGAATGCCTGAAACCGTAGTGATCGAGTGTTCCGTTGAGTGAGGAAGGCATTGGCGCGTCGATTCCTGCGGAGGGCCACGAGTGCTACCGCCTGGAGTTTGTTTATGTCAACTCCTCCGAGCCGTTGAGCGCCTGCCGGGGCGCACATGCCAACGACAACAGCGCAAGCTACTTCTCCGTGGTCAACGTGTTAGGCCTGGAGGAGTGCAAGCAGAGTTGCAGGGAGGAGCCTGCCTGTCAAGGCATTGAGTACTCCTCAGCCCGGTGCGAGGTGTGGACTAGGCCAGGGGGCATTGAAGCGGTCAAGCCGCTGGCTGGGACCATGTGCCTGAAGTATGCTGGGACAACTCTGACGACCACGACTGCAACCCAGGCAACCTCAGCGCCTGTGACCACGACAAGTGCCACATCAGCCCCTGTGACCACGACAAGTACCACATCAGCGCCTGTGACCACGACAAGTACCCCAGGAACTACGTCAGTCTCCCGCAATTGTAGAGGTGCATACGAGCAGTGTGGCGGCAAGTCATGGAATGGCGAGACTTGCTGCATCTATGGATGGGAATGCGTGTTTGACAACGACTTTTATTCCCAGTGCAAGCCTAGCAGCCAGCCCACAACCACCAAGCCACTCAACTGTGACGCACCAGGCACGCCCATTTCCAAGCTGTATCAACAGTGCGGAGGTGTCTCTTGGAGTGGGGCCAAGTGTTGTGAAGATGGGACCGTGTGCGTCTATGACAACGACTACTACTCAAGCTGCCGGAAGAACACTGTCACCACAACTGGTCTGTCGTCCACCGAGACCCAAACCACCCAGGGAAGCAGCAGCAGCACCAGCAACAGCGCCACCACCAGCACCACCACCACCACCACCACCACGACGGCCACAACCACCACAACCACGACGGCCATCGTTGTCACAACTACCGCAACAACAAGCGGGTCAACCGCTGCGAGCACCACAACCACCGCAAACACCGCCACGGGCAGCACAACAGCCGCTACCACGAGCAGCGCTGCCAGCACTTCATTGAGCACAGCGACAACCACGACGACCGAGTCTGTGGAGTGCAGAAAGCGGTACGCGCAGTGTGGCGGTAAAACATACACTGGCGCGACATGCTGCGAGGACGGCTGGTACTGCATCTATGGCGGGCCTTACTACTCCCAGTGCAAGACAACAACCACAACTACGTCTTTCACGTCCGCTTCGGCAGAGAAAAGGGCGGATGCGCATTTTCTGCTGCAGGCGACATTCGGCCCTACACGCGCGACTTTGCAGGAGATTTCGGGCAAGAGCTGCTGAACTTAAGTGGCAACAATTCTGTTTCCGCTGGGCGGCTTGATTACGTTTTGCGTGCAGACGGAGACGCGCGTCCCAGGGGGGGGGTGTTCAGTTGGATTCAACCTCTCGTGTTTGATGTGTGCACTGTGGCAGCATGATGAGCGCACATCTTTCTAGAGCACTCATGTTTGATGCATACAAGTGATGAGCACGCATGCTCTACAGTACGCACGTTCTGCCGCACTCACATGCATGGTGCCGAAATGACAAGCGAACACATTTGACAGAACTCGAAGATTGATGCATGCAGGGTGGCAAGTGATAAGCACACACACACACACACGCGCTTGCTTGCTTGCTTGCTTGCTTGCTTGCTTGCTTGGTTGGTTGGTTGCTTGGTTGCTTGGTTGCTTGGTTGCTTGGTTGCTTGGTTGCTTGGTTGCTTGGTTGCTTGGTTGCTTGGTTGCTTGGTTGCTTGGTTGCTTGGTTGCTTGGTTGCTTGGTTGGTTGCTTGCTTACTTGATTACTTAACTACTCACACACACACAGACACAGACACACAGGCAGACACAGACACACACACAGACACACGCAGACACACACAGACACACACACACACACAGACACACAGAGACACACACACACACACACACGGAGACACACAGAGACGCACGCAGAGACAAAAGAACACACACACAGAGACACACACACACAGACACACAGAGACACGCGCACAGGCACACACACACACACTTCAATACCCAAGGGACGGTTTGATACATTTGTGTACGTCATGCAAGAGAGGAGAGGAGAGACGTTTCGTGCTTTTGTTCGCACATTTCGTGCGTTTCGTTTCCTAGGGCATTACATCCGTTGTTCGTGCGTTTCGTGCGCTTTTCCGGCGTTTCGTGCGATTCGCACGTTTCGCCCGTTTCGTGCGTTTCGTGCGTTTTGTTTCCTGGGCATTTCGGGCGGTTTTCAGCATCTCGTGCGTTTCGTGTGTGCTTTGTTCGTGTGTTCCGTGCCTTCAAATTTTGTTTCCAAAAGGGCCACTGCGGGAGCTGTTCACGCGTTTTGTGCGTTTGTTTGTTTTCTGCGCCTTTTTTGCACTTTTCTTCCTGCTTTTTGTGCTTTTTCAAGGTGAATCTTGTGCTTGCTGCGCCATCACCAACAACATCCTCAGCATCCCCAGCATGTATTCCCACAAGCTTCCCTTACTCCACGCAGTGCGCGCTACGCCTTTTTTCGCACGTTTTGTGGGGTTCCTGATGTATTGCACTTCATTCATTTGGCGCGGCTCCTGCATTTTCATGCGTATTTTGCATTCAAAGGGGCTTCATAGGGGTTTGCGTGCTTGTGTGATTCGCACGGTTCATGCGTTTAACGCTCCGCGATCATTTCATGCCTTTCGCGTGCTTCTTGCGCATGCATTTGCATTTCGTGCGCCTCATGGGTTTTGTGGGTTTGGCGCGTTTTTTGTGGGCTTCGTGGCAAGGACGTGTTTACGCGTTGTCGGTCATTTTCGTGTGTTTCGTGCACTTCGGATTATTTTGTGCTGCGCATCCGACGTCGTGCGTTTCATTGGTTTCGGCATTTGTGGGTCTTTTATGCACTTGCTTGATTCGTGCGTTTCGTGAGGCTCCGGCGCCCCCGTGTCCACTTCGTGCATTTTGGTGTGTTTCTTGGGTTTTCTAGGTTTGTGGGTTCTTTGTCTTTCGTGCATGTCGTGCTCTTCGTGAAATTCCAGTGTCTTCATGCGCTTCGTGAGTTTCATGGGCTTCGTGACTTCGTGGGTTTTGTGTCATTTCGTGTGTTGCGTGTGTGTTGCACACGCAGCGAACATAGGAGCACGAGGACAGACGGCGCCGGAAAAGGGCGTTTCTGAAAGAAAAGGGCGTTTCCGCCCAAACTTGCAAGAACGACCGTTAAAGAATGGGTGTCGAGGGCTCCAGGTCTGTTGATAGAACTATGTTGTGCAGGTACGTCGAGGTGATCAGCCTCGATATCCGCATTTGCTGTGGCCGCTTCGTTGGACCATCGCACAGCAAAATGGATGGTCAAGATGGCGACAGGGTGAATCTGTCGCTCGCACACACACACACGTCCCTCAAAGAGGGGCGAGTAGCTCAGTTTTTACGGGAGGAGCAACCCTAAACAACAAGCGCCCGAAAGACGGACGAAGGCCCCAACGGAAAACAAACGGAGCAAGAAAGCAAAGAAACAGAAAGCCCCACGTTGGGTCTCCGCGGGCAAAACCCCAATCAAGAAACACGAAAACCAGGGGAAACCAAGTTTAGGGTCTCCGACAAGGGCAAAAACCCCAAACTGTCCCGAAAACCCTCCTAAACCTCGAAGACGGGGAGCACCGCGAAGTTGAAGAGCGAGAGGAAGAACAGGCCACCCCTTAACGGGCGAAGAGGAAGCGCAGGATGAAGCAGGGAGGGGGAAAAAGAGAAAAAGAAGAAGGATGGGGGGGGGGGGGAAGAACGAAAGAAAGAATGAAAGAAAGAAAGAAAGAAAGAAAGAAAGAAAGGAAGACAAAGGGGCCGACAAGCGTATTTAGGGCGCCGCAGCCCGCCCGGGGAAAAAGGAGACAGGAAAGAAAAGAGAAGAGAAGGAGACAAGGGAACAAAAAGGGGGGGAAAAGGGGGGGGAAAGGGGTTAGTATGCGTTTTTAGGGCGACGCGTCCCGCCCGGACAAAGACAGAGGATGAAGCCCAAGGCTCGAGGAGGAGGACGTCGAATCCCGCAAGGGGGCCAAGAGGACGAACACGAAATGGCAACGGAAGGAGAGGAAGACGTCAAGCCAAACTGCGTGAGGAGAGCGAGGAGCAAGAACAGGTAGACAGGCAGGAAGAAGACGACGAGGAGAAAGGTGAACAGTGCGAAGACAAGCAGGCCATCCCTAAGCGGGCCAACAGAAGGAGGACGAACGCACGGGTCAGGAACACCAGGAAGAAGCGAGCGGGAGGAAGGGGAAGCCATCCCTAACCGGGCGAAGAAAAGACGGACGCGCGGACGACGAAGACGAGGAACGAAAATGTGAAACGTTCTATGATCTGTGTGAGGCAGTGTGAGGGAGCGAAGGAGATTCCCTCCTTGATGAGCTTGAAGGTGAAACTTCCACATAAGCACATTGATCGAACTGAGATCACCCAACTGAGGTTCATATCTCTGAGTTTACACACGCGCACAGACAGACAGACAGACAGACAGACAGACAGACAGGCAGGCAGGCAGGCAGGCAGGCAGACAGAGACAGACAGACAGACAGACAGACAGACAGACAGACACAGACAGACAGACAGACAGACAGACAGACAGACAGACAGACAGACAGACAGACAGACAGACAGACAGACAGACAGACAGACAGACAGACAGACAGACAGACAGACAGACAGACAGACAGACAGACAGACAGACAGACAGACACAGACAGACACAGACAGACAGACAGACAGACAGACAGACAGACACAGACAGACAGACAGACAGACAGACAGACAGACAGACAGACAGACAGACACAGACAGACAGACACAGACACACAGACAGACAGACAGACAGACAGACAGACACACTGACTGACAGAGACGCGCGCGCAAACACACGTACACCAGGCGCACAGCGCACACAGCGCAGTACACGCACGCACGCACGCACACACGCGCACGCAAGCACGCACGCACGCACGCGCGCACGCACCCACGCACCCACGCACCCACGCACGCACGCACCCACGCACGCACGCACGCACGCGCGCGCGCGCGCTCGCTCGCTCGCTCGCGCGCGCGCCCCCACCCACCCACCCACACACACACACACCCACACGCGCACACACAGCACAAACAGAGCACAGCACGCACACAGAGGCGCTTGGCAACGTGATTTCTTTCTTGCAAATTGCATCGGACGCCTTGTTCAGAAGACAAGAGGCAGAGTCACTGAGGTTACAATGTCTGGATGCAGGAGCAAATGGCAGTGCAGCCAAGCTTGCACCGCGTTTTCTACCGAGAGCGCGTGCAGCCTGAGGCAAGCTCTGGAAAGCAGGTTTTGGTGGAGAACACGGTTGAAGAGCCGGCCTCGGCGCAGACTTGGAGCGGTGGCGCCTGCCCTTCGGTGGCTCGGAGCTTCCAAAACGAGGAAGGCTGTCAGCTCCTCCCTGGCTGTGCTCCGTTGCAGCTGCGCAGCGTGTCCTTGCAGCTGAACACCACGGTTTTGGAGCGATTCTATGCGGCGGAGCAGCGCTACGTCTTTGCTTTGGTGGATCTCATCCCCACCTCTCCGCCTTGCGGGGAGGCTTCCCGCTGGAAACTCCTGGATTGTAGCGCGGGCTGTGCAGCCTCAAACCTGGAGTCTGGCGACGCCGCCAGCATCGCCGCCGCACTCCAGGCAGGGTCCGGGGGAGGCGCCTGAGGCCTGAGGCCATGCGGAGTGACTGAGCTGAGGCAGAAGCTTCGCAGGGTTGGCTCCGCACCGTGGTAGCGACCTGCACTTCCATGACACCCGGGATTGTGGTGCAGGCGGGGGCCTGCGCGAACGATTTTGCGCGGGAACCTGTTGCTTTGTTCTTATCGGCAGGGATGTCTCCATTTGCCAGGTGGGTGATGAGTACTTTCAACATGTGCACTCGAGTGAGTACAACGTCTATGACTTTACTGACTGGGTAGCACAACATCCGGGGGGCGCTGACAAAATCCAGCAATGGACTTCTAAAGGCTACATCCTGAAGTATCCAGCCTCCCATCCCATGGGACGATTCGACTCGACGCTGGCCAGAACCTACATTTGGCCGAACTTTGTGGGGGTATTCAATGACATCGTGGACATCAGGAGCTCTCTTCTTTTAGCTGTCTCAAGTAGCCAGCTGGCCCATTGTCTTGTTTTCAAGGAATTCCCTGGCAAAATGGTTGGACAGAAAGTGTAAACCAACAGCATACCTCAGTTGTTCAAAGCCGACCTTTTGACCTTTTGGTTTCCCACTTTTGGTCCATATTTAGTCATGGTCCCAAAAGGTTAACCTTTTGGTTCCAGGTCCTTTGGGCAATGCCCATCAGAGGGTTCTCATTTCGACTTTCGAGGAGCCTGCCGCAGAGCCTGCAAACGGTCCGCGTGGGGAGAGCCTTTGGGGCCCTTGACAGCTTCGGCACCTTTGCCGAGATCTGTGGCTCGCCGGGGGAAGTGCCCAACAAGGCGCAGCACCTCTACCCTTTCCACCTGAAGGAGACTTCACGCTTTGTTTTTTTTGGTACACGGCAGAAACCGGATTGTGTTGTGAGGCATCAGCACAAGCGAGCACTGTGTCTACCGATTCTACATGTTCAGCCCTGGGCCTGAAATTCAATTGGGAACCCACGGTTTGGTTAGTTCGGGGCTGCGTGTCTAAGATGTAACAGCCCAAATCTTGACCGCATGTCTCCACGGATGCGCGGCGCGTAGGACGAGGCCTTGGATTTGAGTTTCGACGTGGCCTACGACTCGGAGAACGTGGCGCTGAGCAAGGCCTCGGTGTGGAGCCAGCTGGCGCTCCAAGCCCCGGACCAGCTGCGCCAGCGCATGGCCTGGGCCCTGGCGCAGATCTTCGTGGTGGCCCCGGACGCCGCCACGGAGAACCACACGGAGATGCGCCTGGGACGGAACCACGGAGAGGGGCAAAGGGAGACATGGGGCATCGGCGAGTCTAAAAAAAAAATCCACCCCGCCCCAAAAAAATTGCGTTCCTTTCTCTCTTGCTTGGGGGTGGGGGGGAGAGGGGGAGGAGTCCACGCCGTGGAAGAATCTCGACTCTCATTGTTATCCTCAGGCACCCTCAAAAAGGGTCAGCAAGTTTAGTGAGTTGTGGGACCGCGTGACAGTTTTCGCTTTAGGTTTGTCCACTTCTATGACATTTTTGTGCGGCACGCCTTTGGCAACTATCGAGACATCTTGCGAGAGGTTACATACAGCCCCGTCATGGGCGACTATTTGACCTACAAGCGGAACCGGGCATTTGATAGTGATGGCGTCTACCCAGATGAGAACTACGCTCGGGAAATCATGCAGTTGTTTTCGATCGGGCTTTGGAAGTTGAACCCGGACGGCTCCAGAATGGAAACCGAGGGCAACACTGTGCCAACGTATTCGAACACAGACATTATGAACTTTGCCCGCGTTTTCACGGGCTTTGACGAGCAAGCTGAGCGTTCAAACATTGAGCACACCGAGGGCAAAAGCAATGTGATTGACCCCATGCGCATGAGGGCTGAATGGCACGATGTTTATCCCAAACCAAAGCTGGATGGCGGATACTTGGGCGATGGTTATCCGCTTTGTGCGGATGTGAAGAACTTCTTGAGTCAAGGTGCCAAGTTCCGCTTCATTGGCCATTCGCAGTCTGACACCGATTTCCTGGTCCTGTCAGTCACCCGGACCAAATTAAGCCACACGTGCTGAATCGGTGGGCTTTTGTTCTGACATCTCAGGCTGAGTCACCGCTGTACCAGCGGCTTTGTGGCGGGGAGGCGGCAATTTGGGGCGTGGTTTCACGGGCTGCTTTGAAGTGGAAGCAAAGAGAGGCCACCAGGAAACCCGCCATTTTTCTGAGGCCCAGCCTGCTTCCCAAAATGAAGCGCCCAATTTGTGATGGCCACCAGTCACCTGGACCAAATTAAGACACCTTGGCCTCCACCCCCCGGAAGAATACAAAAAGAAGACACAAGGGTGGTGCACGCTACATGTTGCACTGAGCTCACAGCTTGTCAGGTGTGCAGCCATCAGCTGGTCGTGGAGCTTGACGAGACGCTGCAACTCGTTGCAAGTGGTTATGGGTCAAAATATGTCAAAATTCAACCGCCAGACAACCGCAGGTTTTAGTCCATGATTCTATTTACCAAGCATCCATCTTGGGTACATATTTTTGGTGTCACCGTATCTACGACCCGGGCTTTTTTTTGAAATCGGTGTCCCCAGCCATGGTTGGGGTCCCTTTGAAAACCAACCAAACGGTATCCGAATCTGCGAAACTCAAGCCCGGCTTGGTCCAAGGCCGTGCTTTGGCAACGAATGCTCCGCTGGCTTCACGCGCACGCTGCTAGTGGGCGACGGCTTTTATGAGTTCTTGTATCCTGCTTGCGTGTCTTTGTTCTTCCCAGCAGACGTGGATGTGCCCTGGCGTGGGTTTATTCTTGGTGCTGTTGGTGTCCCAAGACGCGTTTGATATGTGCTGCTTGTGCCAAGGTGGTCATTTACCCTGACGGAACGCTAAGCTCAGCCCTGGACTCCAAGACAAAGCAGAACAGGTTCGTAGGCAACTGGCTCTCCAGCGTCCCTGCGCAGGGGGGATGCCCCGCTGCCTGCTCCCCCTACGAAACGGGGTGCACTTGCCCCGCAGAGTTGGGCATGGAGGGCAGCATGCACGTGGTCCATGCGGGCGGCTTCACTTTTCAGAACCCCCCGGTCTTTATGGAGAGGGCGAAGCCTACTGCTCGGGATGCTTTGTTCGAGGTGGAGGCGTTGCTGGATCACTTGACACAGCATCCAAACACCCCGACGTTTATCGCTTTCCGCATCATCCAGCGTTTTGTGACCTCCAACCCCACCGCGGACTACGTCACTGCTGTCAGCGAGGCCTTCAAGTCCGGAGCGTATGCTGGGGTGACCTATGGGACCTATGGGGATTTGAAGGCGACCCTGATGGCGGTCCTGCTTCACCCAGAAGCCCGCTCACAGACCAGCTCCAGCAATGGGGCATTGCGAGAGCCGTTCTTGAAGGTGATCCACCTGATGCGATCGATGGAGTACAAGGATAACAGTGCGAGGCCGGTATTTCTGCGAAATCTCATTGACACCATTGGCCAATTTCCCTATGCCTCACCCACGGTCTTCAACTTCTACCTTCCGGAGTTTCGGCCGGATGGCTTCCCAGACGGACTCGTTGCTCCGGAGTTCCAGATCTACACGCCGCCCAACGCGCTGGCCTTCGCCAATGGCATGTGCTCCCTCATCGATGCTGGGCTGTCGGACTGCAATCAGGGCTTTGGGGTCGAAGTGTCTGGCTGCTCCTCGGGCAGCTTCGATTTCACGCAGGCCTTTGCATCAACGCCTAAGCGGTTAGGGTCCCAGCGGTTAGGGTCCTAGAGTCGAGGGCCTGGGGTGGATATAGGTTTGGTCCGGGTTTGTCACATGACTTGCCCTGACCGAGTTCAGCGCCTCGAAAATGACCCAAGGTCCAGAAGAACCCTCCTCCCGAGTCCGGATTCCGTGTTTTTTGTTTGTGTTTTTTTGCGGCGAGGCGGGCAGCACGATGAGCGAGGCGCTGGTGGAGTTGGACCTGTTGCTGACCGGGGGGCGTCTGGAGCACAAGGGGGCCGTGCAGGCCGCTTACCAGCGGGATGGCTGGAAGGCCGGAGATGCGATGCCCCATCTCGTGCCGAAGAAATGGCCGTGGCTTGGTTTTTTGGGGACCCCCAGGATTTCCTGTTCATTCAATACCACAAAAAAACTGGTATTTCAGAAGAGGACGACACCCAAACCGAGGGCTGGTTGAACAGCGGCTTGCAAAAAGAAGAGCTTGCAAAAACGGGAGCTGGTGAGAGCATTGGCTCACTCGTCAGGACGCACAGAAGCTCATGGTGCTGACGCCTGAGTTCAACACCTTGGGCCATCCTATGCGAGGCGGTGTAAGGCCACCGGCGCCACCTACAAGCACAGGAGCCGCGTCCAGCTACAAGGCAGTGGTCATGCTCTTTTTGAAGGGCGGAATGGATAGTTTTCAGATGTGGCTTGGCTAAGAGGAGCTTGTTGCTTGCGCTTGTTGCTTGCGTTTTTTTTTTTTTTTTTTTGCGTGGTTTTTTAGTGTTGGCCTCGAGCATTTGTTGCATTTTCGCATTGAGGCTGGTGCCCCTGGACTGCCCGCTCTATGACGAGTACGCCACGGTCCGCCGCAGCATCACGCTGCTGCCGGATGAGGTTCACCGAATCCAGGCCACCGGCCAGGCCTGTGGTGACTTTGGGATCCATCCGCGCCTGCCTTTCCTGAAGCAGCTCTATGACCAGCAAAAGGCATTGGCAATGATTGCAGGTTGCATGTCTTAGATGCTCACTCTGCAAGTCTGTGTGTTTTGCAACTTTGGCAGGTGGCTTTCATCAACGACGTGGGTTCGTTGGTGGAGCCCTTGACTCCGGACATGATTGGCACGGGCTTTCACGCGCAGGGTGGATCTGGCAAGAGGTGCCAAGGCCTCTTCAGCCACGCAGATCAGCAGCGGGCCGCTGAGACCCTGACGTGCCAGTACGCCACGGCAGAGTTCAAAGGCGCTGGTGGCCGGATGGCCGACGCGGTGGCTGCAGGATGGGGTTGCAAATGGGCATGGGTCAAAAAATATGTCAAAATGAAGCCACCAGAAAAACCGCAGGTTTCACTCCATGTTTCCATTTACCCGGGTTCCGTTTTTTTGGGTACCAATGAAAGACGCCTATCAGCGCGTTGAAGTGTCCATGCTGCCCATTCTGTTGCCAGGAGACTACAACACTCAGTCTTTCTCCTTGAAGGGTCAAGCCACCTGGCCTCAAGGCTTTGACATCTCAGGCGACGTCCTTGGTCAAAGTTCGGGCACCTCCGCATTCCCAGAGTATGAGCGATTTCAAGACATCATTGACAACATGACCGGGACACTTCACGGAAACGTCTACAGCGGGCATCTCAGTTTCTCAGTTCTCTTTCTCCCTGGTTTGACCAGAGCGCCCCAAGCAGTAGTGACTGTAGCAAGGTGACCAGTACGCGAAGACCCTGCGGCAGTCCATCAGCTTCAACTTGGGCCTGGAGAAGCAGCTGGCCAACGCCAAGTTGGAGACGAGCTACGAGATCAACGGCTACCAGCCCCTGCATTCGCAGCTGAAACAAGCGGCCACCTTGATCTCCGCACGTGTGGACCGCCAAGCCGAGCGGGATTTCTTTTTTGTGGAGGATGGCGGTTGGGATGCACACAGCGGTGTGCAGGAAAGTCTCTACACGAAGCTCTCTGGCGAAAACAATCTAAACTGTTGTGCTTTTGTGTGTTGCGCAGCTTGAGATTTGGTTCTTGATGACACAATCTAGGTTTGGACAGGTGAATAGCGCTCTTGAGCAGTTTGTTACCGAGTTGGAGGCGCAAGGCATGTTTGATGATGTGGTCATAGTGACGCACACGGACTTCGCCCGAACGTTGACGCCCAACAGCAATGCCGGCACTGACCACGGGTGGTCGGGCATTAATATGATCCTTTCCGGGGCAGTCAAGGGAGGTATTTACAACGACTATCCGCGCATGGCAGAGGGCTCTGAGATGGATGCTGGCCGTGGCCGCCTTATTCCCAGGCCAGTTGAGCACTTGTGCGAGTGTCGTTTTGCACGCGCCATGGTCTTGGGGCGCAGGTACCCCCTGGAAGGCATGATGATGCCTGTGGCAGAGTGGATGGGCATGCAGCCAGCGCAGGCCAACCAGGCGGGGGAAGTGGGGAGTGCAGACGGATTTCGAGGGACGCGTTTCAATGCGTGCCTTGAGGTCTTCCCCAACCTTGGCAACTTCAACTCGTCACACATACTGACAAAAGAGACGCTCTTCGGACCTTAGCTGCTGGACGCTATTTTTAGGATCCTTCAAATTCATGCAAGAACCACCCTCGGTGTTGCCTTGATGGGGTGGGGTTTTCAGGCCACTATTAGCAGGGTTGGAATTGTGATCATGGCATTTGCCGGTGGCTTGACGGTGACAGGGGAGGGGTTCTCCTAAAGTAGGTGAGCTTAAGCTATTTTGCCAGATGGTTTCGCATTTGCCGCACCGTTTGCTAGAAGAGGGCATCACCGCTACAGTGGGGTGTGTTCAGATGCTTGTTGAGAGCGATTGGCCTGTGTACAAACGGGTCATAGGCTTCTTGGCAAGCGTCCTCATGGGCTTACAACAAGCCTTTGGGCAATCTGCCCAGCACGCCAGACTGCTTTCTTGCAAGGGTGCCAATTCGCAGAGTTGGGACGCAGGCCTGCGATTTACCTTGCCATGTGGCCGGCATAGCTTCCTTATTTGCGTAGACCAGGCCATGGCAGCTCAAAATGCTGAGCATCGCAAGAGCCAACGCTAGTTTCAACTTTCTGCGAGCGGCCAGTTGAAAATGGGCGAATGGCACAGCTCGGAGCGCTTGCGCGTTCCGTACCTTTCAATTCCTTGCTGTGACATCCTTTCGCTTCTCTTGTTGCACGTCCCTCATGAAGAGTACTTGCGAACTTCTCCCCCTGACTGCAATGCAGACCTCTTAGCGTGCGCATCCAATTCCCAAATGCAGAGAGACCTTCACAACATAACGAGCCCATGGCGGGCTTAAAAGGGATTCTTAGCTCTGCGTCAGGTAGCGTGCACCAAAAGAATTGCCCTTTTTGGTTGGAGATGAGCTCTACCTCATCTTCACCATCGCACCTTGGCAATCACGTGAGAGTCGTGTGCACGGATGGCATTCATATGCGCCAATGGGTGTTTGCTCCTTTTTTTTTTGAGGGGGGCCTTCTAAATGTTGATGGTTTGTTTGAAGGGACACCAAACGGAGGAATCACATTTTTTGTGTGCAGTCCCGCAATATGATGCATATGTATATGTATATATATATATATCTATGTGTTGAATCCTATATGGGCGTTGCTGCGCGCCTTGAACCCGCACAGAGACGAGTCCGAGTTTCAGAATGGACCCCCCTGCAAAGAAAAAATGAGGCTTCCCTTTGGCTGGTTCCCTTTAAGAACCAAGGGGGTACCATCAACAAAAAGACAGACCCATGTGTTTTATGTGAGCCTCACCTTGTCGTTGGCCGCGTAATCGCAAATTCTCAAAAGGACACGAGCCCTTTTCCTGTTGAATTTAAAGCCTCTTCAGAAGCACCATGTTCCTTTGAACCTTTTGGCCTCCCTGAAAATTTGGGACCGGATGGACAGCTCTTGGGTCTCAATGCTCTTAGCCGTCTTAGCCACTCACCCGGGATGAAGGTTAGTAAGGTAACCATAAATTGGCGCAGCCGCCTTGTTTTAATTCTTTACATGGTTCTTAATAGGTAATTTCAATGCCAGGCCTTGATGATGATTTCTGCTTTCGGACTTCAGGTTCAGTCTGGCCACTTGCTCTACAGCGACTTTTTCTTCACGCTCGTGGCCAGGCCCTCGATCCGAATCCGTCCAAAGATTTGGATCAGACTGGCCTAGGTGAGCGGGCTAATATGCTTTGGTTGCTTACATGCGGCTCGACCCCTGAAGGCATGACACATCAGGTGCATTCAACACGGAAATTCGTAAGGGCTCATTCTTCGTAAGGGCTTCTGGTCGGACAGATTTCTGTGAATTCAAGTTTTGCAGATCCGCTCAACATGAGTTGGCTTTGTTTGCTGGATCACTTTTCCAGGATAGTCTCTAAGCGAAGCCCTCCCTGTGCGACCCCCGTGCGGAACTTCATGGGTGAGTAGATGGTGTACCATTGCTGCAGACCTCAAACAAAAAATAGCCATTACTCTGGACCTTTTTTGTTGGGTGCAGCCAGGGACGTCCTTGGCCTCAAGAACACCTCTGCGCCGTGTTGTGTTTTCTCGTTTTTTCGGTTGAGGAGAAGGTGTACCTCAAGCAGAAGGTGGACGCCGGGGCGGAGTTCGTCACCCAGATGTTTCTGGACCCCGAGATCTTCCTGGACTTCCAGAAGGCCTGCCTCAAGTACGACAAGGCGCTCCGCTCTCCGCGACGGCCGACGGGCAGACGACCCAAAGGACCCCTGAGAAGGCAAAGCAATGCCAAGGGCCAAGGGAACAAACACAGAAGGGGGTTCTTCTAAACATGTTTGCCTTTCTTTTGCCCAAACTCGACCTTTTGACCCTTTTTCCCGCTTTCGTTCCGGTTTTAGTCATTGCCCTAAAAGGTGTTCACCTTTTAGTGGGTTCTTTGCGAAGCTGAGATTTAGGTGATCTTTGGATTGGGCCTAAAGTATCGCCCAGGTTGTTCCAACATTCGGGGTTGGGTGAATGTTGGGGGAAACCGAAGTGAAAATACCATTCAATGTCTTTTGAGGGGTGTACGTCTAGCAAAAGGATCTTCCTCTCAAAATTATGGTGTTTCGGGTTCCATGTTAATTTGCAGGGGTGAATTTGCACCGGCTCATCCAGTTTTCAGTGCTTCCCCCCGTTTCCAGTGAAGTAGGCAACCAGTGACCGACCCATTCTTGGGCTACCAGACCAACAAAGTGCTGGGCCTGCCTCAGATGGTTTGCCAATGCCTTCCCTGAGTTGCTTATGACTCGTGGAGTGCGCGTTTCCTGCTTCTGTAAAAGAAAACATAGTTTTGTCACAGGTTGTTGGTTTTTTGGTGGGAGCCCAGCATTGATCAGCCCCTGAGTTCGTATGGGCGTCCCTTTTTATGAATCAATTATTCACCTAGGGAAACACCCTGAACTTATCTTCATGCCTGCAGGGTCATTGGACCGTTGTCTTGCTGTTTGTCTTACCTTTTGGCTTTAGACCTGAAACCGGCGAACACCTTCCATTTATGAATTGCATGGGGAGCACCCTAAAAAGTTGTCGGTAGACCTAAACCCCCTTTTGAATTGTGCCCACCAAGGCCTCCCCAGAAGAAAACGGATGTCCCATTCATTGAGTTGAAAGTTTGGGTGTGTGTGTGTGTTTCTCTGACTCCAAAAGGCGAGTGAGAACCGTGCAGTCCCAACCCCCCGAACTATGGTTGACGTTTGATAAAACGAAGTTGCTCGCCACAGACAACCTCGGTTTTGGGGTTTTCAAGCCGGGGTTCGATTTCTAAAGGTGCCGATTGTGGGCATCACGTGCAACACCTACGGCGGCTTGGTGCGGATGACCGAGCCGCCTGGCTGAAATCGGCCGAACGCGGCCGCAAGCGCGAAAGGCAAGGCGCACGTCTTTTCGGCGAAACCCACTTAAAGGGTCAGAATCGAGTAGGATGTGCCCCCAAAACGGAGTTCGGTTTTACTTTGGGTTTCCTTTCAAAAACCAGGGGTTCAAAGCACCAGTACAAGAGTGGCTGGGTTAGTACAACTATCATTGTCATATAAATTGGGTCTGCGTGGCCCATTCTTTTGATGGGGGCCAGGAACTCTGGGGCTCCCCTTTCAATACAAGGCTAGGAGTCAAAAAGCAACGGCTCGGTTTGGCTTCTGGTTCGCTTGCCTTCAATTTACAAGCAGAATTCCAATTTGACTCCCCCCCTTAATTTTATACAGTTCAGTTGACGCGTTCTCACGCCCTCCTCACCGCGGGGCCCAAGCGAGGCTACTACAGAGGCAACGAGGTCAGCGACAAGGTGGAGAACCTGTGCAAGGAGCGCGCTCTGAAGGCATTCGGGCTGGATGAGACGCTCGGAAGGGGCAACCCACCAAACATCAGGCCCTTTCCAACTTCAAGGACGGCCCCCCCCCCAACCCCCCCAACTCCAAACCCAGGCGCCCAACAAAAAACCCAAGCACCATCAATCAAACCCAGCCCCCCACCCCCCAGCCCCCGACCCACCATACCTTCCAAGGAAGGTGTGCCAGCCCAGCGGTCCGGACTTCGCGGTCTACGCGGCCCCTCTGCCGCACGTCTGGGTGACGCGGTCGAAACAAATGCAAGGGCAGGGGAAGGGCGATCTGTTTGGTTGGTTGCTTGTGTTTGTTTTGTGTTTGTTTTGTTGGTTGTGTAGTTTTTGTCCGGGGGAGGTGTTTTCTTCTTTCTTTCCTTTTTGGTTTGTGTGTGTGTCTGTGTATCAGCAGTGTATCACCAGGATATGGACTGCAGGTTGTAGTCCTTGGTTCCATTTACCAGGGCAAGCCATTTTGGGTACCCATTTTGGACCCACAGCCAACTAGCAGGGATACAGGGGGAACGAACGAACGAATCCGGGTCTCTGAGCACTGAGTGCGCGAACTTTAGGGAGTTTGGTGGCCAAATAAAAAGGCGCCGCAACAACTGGCCAAAACAATTCCGGGGGAACCAGTTGGATACGGGAAGATTCCCCCGTTTGATGCACCTGGACGAAGTTTGACTTGCGAAATGGTGCCAAGGGAATCAAAATCCCCCCACCTCCCCCGCTGCCGTATCCCCGCTTCGTTTGTCCAAGAATTTTCGCTCGGAGGCATTCGATCTGCGAAGTATGGTGAGCTCAGGGATCCGGGGATAGCGAAAGCCATGAGAAAGTGCCAAAGACTTGGGCATCCAAGTCCTAATTTTCAGCTTTTGGAGTTAAGTGAGGACAAGCCTTGCCAACATCGACAATACCTGTGCCGTGCCGGCTCGGCACCTTGGCCGATATGGCTTTCACAGGGGGCCTTTGGCGGACGCGACAGATGTCCGGCCTCTTTCCCCTTGCATCAGAGGTTTGAAGGCCAGCCGTCAACAGTTCTGCCAAAGCCTTGCACGCCATCCTTGACTTCAAGAAGCTAAATCGGGGCAAATGGCCATTCGCACGCCAAGTGCGGGCTTCTGAAAGTCTGTTCTCTAGCCTCAGAGCTTCCAGGTCTCAGGTGCCTTCCTTGATGGTATGGTTGCATTGCATGCGGCAGCTGACCAGCAGTTCAAATTTGAGAGGGTTCAATCACACGCCATGCTTCGCGTTGCTGTGATATTGATTTGTCCGTGGCTTGCCTCGGCCCAGTCCGCCCAGTCTGCTTGCTCCGCTGGCTTGGGGTTGCTACAGAAATCCCCGCGACAAAAGATACTCCAGCTACCAGGCACACAATATGATTGGTCTCCCGTGGATGGTGGCGATGGAAGGGCTTGCAGAGGAGGAAGCGATTCTGACAACTCGGCCTCCTACTACCGCGTGGTTTCTGGCATTCAAACATTGAATGACTGCCAAGCCGAGTGCATGAACGACGCGGAGTGCGGAGGCAGGGGCAAACACAAAAAGGCTTTTAAACTGATCCAATTCTTGCGCCCGAGGTGTCGAATTCAGCCCTGGGCGCTGTGAAGTTTGGACGAGGGCAGGTGGCATTGAGGCCACCGTTTCCTTGGACAACTTCCAATGCTGGAGCTACAAGCCCTCGCTTTACCTTCCAGTCGATGGCGGCATCGGCCGCCAGTGCAGAGGCGCGTGCCAAAACGCCAAAATGCAGAGAGTGGCCTTTCAGGTTGGCACCCTGAAGGCATCCTCGAGGACGAGGCGAGCTACTTCCTGCAGCCAGGTGTGCAGGCGTTGCCAGCCTGCAAAGGTCTGTGCGAGTCGGAGCCGGCTTGCAAGGGCATTGAGTATGCTGTTGAAAGTGAGCAGTGCAAAGTTTGGACCGAGCCTTGATCCGCAATAGGGGGGCCCTTTCAGTGTCTGAATGCCTGAAACCGTAGTGATCGAGTGTTCCGTTGAGTGAGGAAGGCATTGGCGCGTCGATTCCTGCGGATGGCCACGAGTGCTACCGCCTGGAGTTTGTTTATGTCAACTCCTCCGAGCCGTTGAGCGCCTGCCGGGGCGCACATGCCAACGACAACAGCGCAAGCTACTTCTCTGTGGTCAACGTGTTAGGCCTGGAGGAGTGCAAGCAGAGTTGCAGGGAGGAGCCTGCCTGTCAAGGCATTGAGTACTCCTCAGCCCGGTGCGAGGTGTGGACTAGGCCAGGGGGCATTGAAGCGGTCAAGCCGCTGGCTGGGACCATGTGCCTGAAGTATGCTGGGACAACTCTGACGACCACGACTGCAACCCAGGCAACCTCAGCGCCTGTGACCACGACAAGTGCCACATCAGCGCCTGTGACCACGACAAGTACCACATCAGCGCCTGTGACCACGACAAGTACCACATCAGCGCCTGTGACCACGACAAGTACCCCAGAACTACGTCAGTCTCCCGCAATTGTAGAGGTGCATACGAGCAGTGTGGCGGCAAGTCATGGAATGGCGAGACTTGCTGCATCTATGGATGGGAATGCGTGTTTGACAACGACTTTTATTCCCAGTGCAAGCCTAGCAGCCAGTCCACAACCACCAAGCCACTCAACTGTGACGCACCAGGCACGCCCATTTCCAAGCTGTATCAACAGTGCGGAGGTGTCTCTTGGAGCGGCGCCAAGTGTTGTGAAGATGGGACCGTGTGCGTCTATGACAACGACTACTACTCAAGCTGCCGGAAGAACACTGTCACCACAATTGGTCTGTCGTCCACCGAGACCCAAACCACCCAGGGAAGCAGCAGCAGCACCAGCAACAGCGCCACCACCAGCACCACCACCACCACCACCACCACGACGGCCACAACCACCACAACCACGACGGCCATCGTTGTCACAACTACCGCAACAACAAGCGGGTCAACCGCTGCGAGCACCACAACCACCGCAAACACCGCCACGGGCAGCGCAACAGCCGCTACCACGAGCAGCGCTGCCAGCACTTCATTGAGCACAGCGACAACCACGACGACCGAGTCTGTGGAGTGCAGAAAGCGGTACGCGCAGTGTGGCGGTAAAACATACACTGGCGCGACATGCTGCGAGGACGGCTGGTACTGCATCTATGGCGGGCCTTACTACTCCCAGCGCAAGACAACAACCACAACTACGTCTTTCACGTCCGCTTCGGCAGATAAAAGGGCGGATGCGCATTTTCTGCTGCAGGCGACATTCGGCCCTACACGCGCGACTTTGCAGGAGATTTCGGGCAAGAGCTGCTGAACTTAAGTGGCAACAATTCTGTTTCCGCTGGGCGGCTTGATTACGTTTTGCGTGCAGACGGAGACGCGCGTCCCAGGGGGGGTTCAGTCGGATTCAACCTCTCGTGTTTGATGTGTGCACTGTGGCAGCATGATGAGCGCACATCTTTCTAGAGCACTCATGTTTGATGCATAAAAGTGATGAGCACGCATGCTCTACAGTACGCACGTTCTGCCGCACTCACATGCATGGTGCCGAAATGACAAGCGAACACAAATGACAGAACTCGAAGATTGATGCATGCAGGGTGGCAAGTGATAAGCACACACACACGCTTGCTTGCTTGCTTGCTTGCTTGCTTGCTTGCTTGCTTGCTTGCTTGCTTGCTTGGTTGCTTGGTTGCTTGGTTGCTTGGTTGCTTGGTTGCTTGGTTGCTTGGTTGCTTGGTTGCTTGGTTGCTTGGTTGCTTGGTTGGTTGCTTACTTACTTGATTACTTAACTACACACACACACACAGACACAGACACACAGGCAGACACAGACACACACACACACAGACACACGCAGACACACACAGACACACACAGACACACAGAGACACACTTGAACTCCAGATGGAGAGTGCTAATCTTTCGAGTACAACTGATGAGTCTCGAGTACAACTGACAAGTCTCGAGTAGGATGAGTTTCGGCTCGCAAAGCACTCGGTTTCCCTCTAGAGGCGAAAACGTTACAGAATCAACATGAAGCACACACAGCGGCAAAGAAGAGGGCCAAAACGACTTTCAGAATCACTCAAAAGGTGCAGGTACACAAGGCTGATCAGGCCTTGCTTCCCACTCTCACCCACAGCTTCATTGCGTGTGGTAGGATGAGAGTGCCACACGCCCCTGCTGCAATAGAAAAGGGTTTTGGTGGCAGGGTTTTCTGCCACTCCGCACACACACGCCCCTCTACGAGGGGCGAGGTTTCTCTTTTCTCCTGCAGGAAGATCACATGCTCCAACTCGAATCTCTATCGTTGACCAAAATATCCACCACGGCGAGGGGAGCGAGACACAGCCCTAAACCGCTCAGAAGACGGGAACGAGAGATCACCACGTTGAGCGTTGCGAGTGTCGCCATAGAGGACTGAAGCGATTTGCGAAGCAGCCTGGCGATCACCATGAGAAAACGGAGTGGCGTAGGTGAACGTCTCCTCAACTGGAACGGCACCGGAGTTCCGAACTTGACCAAGAGATTGATCATGCGGATAATGAGTTGCGAAGGACTCAATCCGAGACAGAATGCGCTGGTACCCTTGATGTTGCCAGTCACGGATGTCCCATGCCTGGACCGGCTCATTGGGATCAGTCACCCGCTGCCATTCCCGAAAAGAATTTTCAGGTAGATCAGGTACGGCGTCACCGCGGTGCCATCGTTGAGGCTGTCCTGGAGTGTATATCCGCACCCACTCCTGATCCTGCCAGACCGAATATTCGAGCCATGGGTGCTGCTTCGAATCATCGATGTCCATGTCGAAGTGAGAGGCAAGGATTGTCGCGGGCTCCGATCCAGCTAGTAGAGGAACAGGCACCATGCACAACCATGTTCAAACAACAACCAAGCAAGATCATGCAAGTGTAGAGACCACCCTTATTTTGTACGCTGCGCCACTCATGCGAGTCTAGTCCTCAGTCAGCTCTAAGATGGGACTCGCCTTGTCTCGGCCGCTGTCGGAAGGATTCACGGGCCGGTAGGGCTCGGAGACCCCAATCGTCTCCGATGGTGTGTTTCCACGCGACGCACGTACTGGTTGATGAGGTTGGGAAGCTTGACGTGCGCGAGCTGTCAGTTGTTGAGAAATCCCCTCCTGGAGACGAGTCAGTTCTTCAGTAGAGAACTCAGCCGCATCCGAGGACCTGAGAATCGCGTCTAACAGCTCCGGCGACATACTCAATGCCGCAGACTGCGTGGCCACGCTGTGATGATCAGGGAGATACATGGAATCAAATTCATGACCAGCGTGAGGGGCAGCGACTCTCCGATAGCCCTCTGTGGCCCAGTCTCGTTTGTACCACGTGGTGACTTGGACCTGCCCACCGACTGAGTCCTGGTTGGGAGCATAGAACTCCCTCCATTCTCTAAAAGTATGCGGAGGAGGTGGAGCATCGTGTTCTTCTTGTGGCGTCCATGGTCCCGGATGAAAGATCTTGACCCACTGGGCATCTGGTTGTTGAGGATCCGGACACCATTCCAGCCACGCCATGACAACGCAACCACGGAAAGACAAATTGATAGGTGTACGGCTGCAGACAACAATGAGTGAAAGCGAAACAACTATCATAATGCAAAAGACCACTTTTGCAGCACTGCGCGGCTCCAGCATCGAAGTCAATCTCCCGAATCGAATTGAACTGAACAGACTCCCCAGGAAGGCGAGGACGGGCATCAGCCATCATGTGAATTAGATGATGCCGAGGAGGAGGTCAATCCAGCATACATGAGGTCCGGTGCACCCGAAGCGAAAACTGGCCTCGCGATGCTGGGACGTGGACGACCCAGACGTTGGTATCCCCTGGTGACCCAGTCCCTGTAATACCAAGTATAGAAGGTTGCATAGGATACCGGTTGCAAAACAGTGCCTGTGGTGGTGCCGCCCGTGCTTTCCCTAGGCCAGTACACTTCGAAGTGGTGGACCTTGCGCCATTCCCGATAGGTGGTCGGGTCATCCGGGGCCGGTCCCAGGGTGTTCGTGGCGACTGGATGCCACTGACCCGGTACATACCAGTATGCGGGAAATTACTTACGGGACTTATGAGTAGGTTATAACTTAGGTTATAAGTTCTGTAACTTAGGTTATAAGTTCGATAAGTTCTGCAAGTGCGCCGTAAGTTCATATGAACTTATAAGTTACTTGGGGTCTACTTAGGGGACTTATGGCTTGAGCGTCAAACAACTTACGATGAACTTAGGAACTAGTTATGGTGAACTTACGATCGCAAAAAAAATGAGCACCTGCGCAGGGTATAGTGTGATAGGGTTGCTAAAAATATATATAACCCCACATAGGCTTTTCTGTGTCCCCAGAGTAGAAAACTTGTATTTGCTTTTTGCTCGCTCTTTTCTTCCGCCGCTGCTTCTGGCTCTCTTTTGTTTTCCCGCAGCTGCTGGTTCAAGCTTTTAAGCTTTTGCTTTGCGCGGCGCAATGGCCTTGGCTTGTCTGCAAGCCGTGTCACGGTGCCTCTCCGCGGCAGCGGCCGACCCGGGTGGCAGAGAGAAGCTTTTTGCATCTGCGCAGACTTTTCTGCTTGCAGAGCCGCGGGAGCGCGCAGATCTGCTGGCCGCTGAGGCGTTCCTGGATACGCCGGACGGCGCCTTCGCTTCGGGTGAAAAATGTCAGCTACAAGAGCTGCTGCGCTCCATGGCGCAAGCGAAGCAGGCCGGGGAAAAAGATCGGCGAAGACAGAGCCAGGACTACACCAGACTGCACTTTTTTTTACAGCCGAGCATTGGGCTCGCTTGTCTGGCAAGCTTTCTCTGAGAGAGAAAGCGGAGTATATCCTGGAAACTGCCGCGATGGTTCTGCAGCTCTGTCTTCCGACAGAGCTGACGTTGGCAGGAGTCACCGCCGTATGCTCGCTTCTGGAGGGCGGGCCGTCCAGTTCTTGGCAGCTCGCCACAAGCTATCAGGTAGTCAAGTCAACGTGGAAGGCGGTGCATAAGCGCTTGCAAAAGATAGGCAGAGCGAAGACAGGGCAGCTGCTGGCAGTCTTGCCGGCCAACTTTAAGGATTTGCCCGCAGATATAGTCGCGGCCTTCGAGGGCCACGAGCCGGCGTGTCAGACAGCGTGGCCCCTTCAGGATCAGCAGATCGCAGCCTTGGCCGCGAAGGTGCCCTTGCGCAGCACAAATGCGCTGTCTGCGCCGCCGGCAATGTCTGGCCCAGCCATGGCCGACATCATGGGCGCTGTCATGCGCCAGGCAGCGGGGAGTCTGTGCTCATGGGAGCGTCCCCCGGGCATCCGTGACCCCCTGAACTTGCAAATCCTCAAGCCGCAAGGCGCGAACAACTCAGCCCAGGTCGTCGCAGGCGCGTCCAGGGCCCTGGCCCTGCCGGAGGTTCCCCCGTCAGAGCTCGTGCGCAGCGATGTGCCTGAGCCCATCGCGCAGCACCAGCAGGAGCTGGCCCTGGACACGGCGGTAGCCGCAGATAACGGCAGAGACGGCGAGCGCAGCAACGACGAGCCATCGACGAGCCCTCCCGCAGACCTGTCGGCGTCCGCAGCCGCAGACCTACTCAGTCAGGACCGGAAAGGCATGAAGCGTCCAGCGGCGCGGCAGCTTGGCTCTGCGTCAAAGCCGTCGAAGGTCCTCAAGCGCCCTGCGGCAGCAGCAAGCTGCGCAGAGTCTGCGGACACGCGCCAGAGCGAGTCGTTGTCTGCGGACACGTACCAGAGCGAGTCGGCGCAAGCTCAGTACTGGGGCCACACGCACATCGGGTACTATACGCAGAAGTCTTACATTCGATATTGGTGCCAAGCGGACAAGAAGTACCGCCTGATCATAGGGGCTTCTGGTCCGAACCACAAAGCCATCTGCAAGCAGCTGTGGCCTGCAGTGAAGAAAGGCAAGCAGCTTGACGCTTTGCAGAAGATGCGGGCCCGTCTTCTCAAGGCTCCAGCATAGGGTTTGGCGGCGTTCTCGCTTGTCCATATACGCGTCTTTCGAACAGGGGTCGGCGCAAAACAAAAAACGCACACGTGCTCGTTTTTTTTTTTCTCGCGTCAGTCGTCGTTTGTCGGGTTTGTCGGGCTCTTGCATGCGCACCGCTGCATTTCATGGGCGGCGCAGCCGTTGAGGCTCGAATGGGAGCCATGGCGCCCAAGGAGGCGCCGGAGGAGGCGGGGCATCGGGCCGGCGTCTCGCTCTCGTACAAAATATAAATACTTAATATTTATAAACACAGTGCAAAAAGATAATATATATACACATATTCTTTATATATATATAATATATATGTGCATGCGCGCCGTCATCCGACACGCGCGGTTATAGTTTTGCCGTCACGGCTGCGGCCTGACTTCGCCACGGCTGCGGCCTGGCGTCCCTCCTGCGGCTGCGGCCCCGGAGGGACTTTGTCAGCCACGGCTGCGGCCTGGCGCCCTTCCTGCGGCTGCGGCCCAGGAGGGGCTGCGCCCGCCATGGCTGCGGCCTGGCGGGTCGCGTCTGCCAGGGCTGCGGCCTGGCGCCCTTCCTGCGGCTGCGGCCCAGGAGGGGCTGCGCCCGCCACGGCTGCGGCCTGGCAAGACTGCTGCGGCTGCGGCCCAGCGCGCGCGGCTTGCGCGCCATGTGCATGTATACATATATATATATATATATAAGCACAGACGCGGTTGTATATATGTAGATATATAATGCGTATAATGCGCACCAGCGCAGGCACATTTTGTTTTTATCTCGCGGCTTTGTTTTTATATGTCATATATATTATCTACGCGCGCGTGTCGTCTCGCCCTGCCCAGGTGCCACCTCCTGCGGGAGGAGCAGGCGCGCCTGCACAGGGAGAGGATGAGGATCAGGAAATCCCCGATCCGGGGGATTCCGTGACCCCTGAGGGGGACAAGGCCAAGGAGCCGGCTCCTCCTGGGCCGGAGCGGGCTAAGGAGCCGGAGCCGGCCAAGGAGCAGGAGGATTCCTCCTCGTCCGAGGGCACGCCGTCGCCGGCCTCGGTCAGGAACCGGGGAGCAGCCGAGCGGCGAGACCGCTCAACGCCGGCCTCCGCGGAGAAGGCGGCCGAGCTGCGAGACCGCTTGCTGAGGCAGCGGTCCGGCTCGGAGCGGCCGCCTGAGCCGAAGTTCCCGCCCAAGACGCCGAAGCCGCCGGCCAAGCCGCCGGCCAAGCCGCCGCCCCCGGCGAAGGCGCACCGCCAGCGGTCCAGCGCGCCGAGCCGGCGCCCCTGCTCGCACTGCGGGCGGCAGGTGGCGGACGATGCATCTGCCCGAGAGCAGCATGAGCGAAGCCAGCACTGCATCGCTCATCGGATGTGGCGGTCGGGGCGCTACCGCTCGTGGGCAGACACGCTGGCCGCGGCGCAGGAAGAGAGCGACCGGGCGTGGCAGGCCGCATATGGCCCGGACAAGTCCGAGGACCCGGGGCTCTCGCGGGAGCCGAGCCGCAAGGTGAATCTGCTGGCACGCGTCAAGTCGGGGTCCCGAGCCCCCACGGCCACGGAGAAACGCAGGCGGCGGAAGGAGAGAAAGGGGAGCCGCTCGCGCTCGCGCACGCGCGGCCGCCGCCCCAAGGAGAAGAAAGAAAAGAAGAAAGCGCGCGCCAGCCCAACCCCTGAGGCCCGCGGGCCGAAGAAGGGTCCAGGCGGGGGCGAGCCCCCGCCGCCGCCGGACGGCTCGGGCGGACCCGGTGGCGCGAAAGGGCAGGTCCTGACCGCCCTTTTCGAGCAGGCCACGCGCACCTTGCAAAGCCTGTGAGGCTGGCAAGCCGCCATGCACAAGCTGCGGGGCACGTATATATATCGGCGGCGAGAGAGAGCGAGAGAAGAAAAAAAAGCGCGCGCAAGGGTTCGGGCGGGAGGCGGGGGAGGGGGGGCGGAGAGGGTTTCTTTTGCGTTTTTTTTTCCAGGCTCGTCGTGTTTCCTACTATATACTCAAATTGTCCAATGTCGGCATTTGTCGGCGAGGTTTTCTTGGCACCCTGGATTTATAGCACCCCCCCATGTCGGCGTCATGTGCTGTAGTAGTAGGGCCCCGGAACCCCTGACGTCGGCCAATGTCGGCATTTGTCGGCATTTGTCGGCGCATGTTTTTGTAGTTTTTGCCTGCGCTTGAAATCGACCGCGGCTCTCTCGGCTCGAGGCTCCTTATTTTTTCTTTTTTTTTCTCCCAGCCGCCCGCACTATATATATGGCGGAGACTGCGGTCCCGAAGGCTTGCTGCTCCCTGTGCGGGAAGTCGTCCGTGGACGACACCAGGGGAAGATCTTCCGGTGTCTCCTGGGAGTGCCGGACCTGTCAGTCCCTGAAGAGCATGGTGAGCCGGAACGCCGGAGACGCTCTTGCCGAATTCACCATCGATGACAAGAAAGCCTTCTTCAAAAAAATTCGCGAGAACGGCGAGGGCTCTCGGTACAACTGGGCCACGGTCAGAGCCGTCCTGGTCGACCAGACCATCAAGAAAACGATTCGGGCCCAGGAGCACTCCACCATCACGGACTCCAAGCCGAGAGCGGTTTGGCTCGGCCTTGGCTACTCTGACGAGCAGTTGGACAAATGCCCCACATGGACCTGCCCGATCCTCGGCGACGTCATCAAGGTGCCTCTGCATCGCGAAGTCTTTCGGGACATCGTCGAAGTCGTGGAGCGGCGCATCATGGAGAAAGAGCAGACCCTCCGAGAGCGGAAATCCGGCGGCAAGCGCAAAGCCATTCCGGAGGATGCTGCTGTTGGAGACGCCGCCCACGATCCCGACCTCGACGTGCCGGAGGCGCAGCCGAAGCCTGCGGGCGCAAGGCCTCCGGCCAAGAAGGGGCGCGCTGTCTCCCCATCGGCCGAGAAGAAGGCCAAGCAGGAAGCCAAGGACGCTGCTGCTGCCGGCCGCTTCAACGCTAGGCAGAAGCAGTGGGCGGCTAAGGCTGTGGCCTTGCTGACCCCGGCAACCGCTGGCGCACAGGCTGTCCTGGACAGCGCCCAGAAGCTGGGAGTCGACCAGCCTGAGCTTCTCAAGGGTCTGTCCGAGTGTAAGACCCAGTTCGCAGCGTGGGCAAAAGCGAGCACCGACCTGCTGCACGTGCTGGACACGGGCACTCTGCCGGCCGGGGCCCTGGTGGCGGCCTTGCCTTTCAGCCTTCAGGACTTGAAAGATCATCTCAAGTCTTGCAACGCGTTGCTCAAGGAAGGCCGAGCCCTTGTCAAGGCAGTCAAGGCCACACGAGCCGCGGCCAAGGCGGAGGCGTCTGCGGAGGCGCCTGCGATGCCTGCGGCGGCTCCGGCGAAGCCTTTCAAGCGCCGCACCTGCGGGAAGCAGCAGGAGAAGGAAGCCGCTCCGGGCGAGTAGTTGGCGCGTCTCGCTGGCTGCGGCCGCCGCCGCTGTCAACCTCGAGCGGCTCAGTTTTGTGCGCGATATAGCGACGCGCGGGGTCCGGCCGCGGGCGCCTTCCTGCAGCCGTGAAGCTCGCTTGTGAGAGGGAAAAAATGCATTCTGCCGCTATACATATATATAAGCTTGTCCCCGCCTCCTTGTTTCTTATGTGCCCGGGGGTGCCACGCACGCGGATGTCGCTTTCTCCTTCCCCGTGTGTTCATCAGTATATATATATATACATGAATATATATGAGCCACGGACAAAACACACGAAGACCACTTTATCAAGGCGGGGTACGTTTTTGCATAACACATGCCAAAACCATGCAAAACGATAAGGTCTCCCCCAAAAACGATAACCCTTAGCTAACACACGGCTCTATAATAACCCCTGCAGTTGCAACTTAGCTAGCTGTGGGACCGTAAAACGAGAAGGCGAGTCGCCACTTTCGAGCTGGAGCTGCCAAGGTGTGCTTTGTAAATACGACACTTGTACTACAAAGTTGCGATTTTCGAGCTGGAGCTGCGGAAGTGTACTTCGCCTACTAGACTTGTACTACAAAGTTGCGATTTTCGAGCTGGAGCTGCGGAACTGTACTTCGCGTACTAGACTTGTACTACAAAGTTGCGATTTTCGAGCGGGAGATGTGGAAGTGTACTTCGCTTACTAGACTTGTGCTACAAAGTTGCGATTTTCTAGCTGGAGCTGCGGAATGTAACTCGCGTTACTAGACTTGTACTACAAAGTTGCGACTTTCGAGCTGGAGCTGCGGAAGTGTACTTCGTGTAGTAGACTTGTACTACAAAGTTGCGACTTTCGAGCTGGAGCTGCGGAAGTGTACTTCGTGTACTAGACTTGTACTACAAAGTTGCGATTTTCGAGCTGGAGCTGCGGAACTGTACTTCGCGTACTAGACTTGTACTACAAAGTTGCGATTTTCGAGCGGGAGATGCGGAAGTGTACTTCGCGTACTAGACTTGTACTACAAAGTTGCGATTTTCAAGCTGGAGCGCTGTGGAAGTGTACTTTGTGTACTAGACTTGTATTACAAAGTTGCGCTTTTCGAGCTGGAGCTGCGGAAGTGTACTTCGCGTGCTAGACTTGTACTACAAAGTTGCGATTTTCGAGCTGGAGCTGCGGAAGTGTACTTCGCGTACTAGACTTGTACTAGAGCTGCGGAAGTGTACTTTGCGTACTAGACTTGTACGACAAAGTTGCGATTTTCGAGCTGGAGCTGTGGAAGTGTACTTCCCGTGCTAGACTTTTCGAGCTGGAGCTGCGGAAGTGTAATTCCCGTACTAGACTTGTACGACAAAGTTGCGATTTTCGAGCTGGAGCTGCGGAAGTGTACTTCGCTTACTAGACTTGTACTACAAAGTTGCGATTTTCGAGCTGGAGCTGCGGAAGTGTACTTCGTGTACTAGACTTGTACTACACAGTTGCGATTTTCTAGCTGGAGCTGCGGAATTCTACTTTGCGTACTAGACTTGTACTACAAAGTTGCGATTTTCGAGCTGGAGCTGCGGAAGTGTACTTCGTGTACTAGACTTGCACTACAAAGTTGCGATTTTCGAGCTGGAGCTGCGGAAGTGTACTTCGCTTACTAGACTTGTGCTACAAAGTTGCGATTTTCCAGCTGGAGCTGCGGAACTGTACTTCGCGTACTAGACTTGTACTACAAAGTTTCGATTTTCGAGCGGGAGCTGTGGAAGTGTACTTCGCGTACTAGACTTGTACTACAAAGTTGCGATTTTCGAGCTGGAGATGTGGAAGTGTACTTCGCTTACTAGACTTGTGCTACAAAGTTGCGATTTTTT